TGTTTGTACAAAATTGTGGCTTGAGTCCTTTCTACAAGACTCAAAAAGTACTCCCCCTCACCACATCAGAACAACAATCCACCTTTGTTGAGGGTAGACAAATCCTTGATGAATCTCTTATAGCTAATGAGCTTGTTGATGAACGAGGGAAGGGGTCATTCTCAAATTAGACATTGAGAAGGCATTCAACAAAGTAGATTAGGACTTTCTTGATGGTATTCTCCTTGCAAAAGGTTTTGGTTACAAATGGAGGAAATGGATGAGAGGATGCATATCTCCCACGAATTTCTCAACTATCATCAACGGTTGACCTGAGGTAAAATACTTGCTACTAGAGGTCTTAGACAAGGAGACCCTTTATCACCCTTCCTCTTTTAACATGGTGGTAGATTGCCGAAGTAGACTAATGACACACACTGCCACCAACAATTTGATAAGGGGGTTTGACTTGGGAAATGACACCACACATATTCATCACCTTCAATTTGTCGATGACACCATCTTATTTTCCATACATGAGGATTGGACCATCCAAAACCTCTTTTAACACATGAGGATTGTAATTACTCCCTTAGTTCCATCCTCCAAAATTGGAAGGCCTTTATAAACTAGTTTCTTTGGGGAGGGGTTCTCTCTGCCCCTTGCCCTTCGGTTGTTTTTTTTGTGACTAATACAAGTTCTCCTTTGTTTCTTAAAAAAAAATAAACGTCTATTAACACCATCAAGACTTTTAAGGAAGCATCTAGCAACATCAACTATCTTAAATCTGAAATTTGGCATCAACTTGGAAGAGGACTTGGGTTGTTCTTTTTGTGAGTAATACAAGTTCTCCTTTGTTTCTTATTAAAAAAAAAAGCCTCTATTGACACCATCAAGACTATTGAGGAAGCATCAAGCAACATCAACCATCTTAAATCTGAAATTTGGCATCAACTTGGAAGAGGACTTCGTATTCTCAATCGCCAACAGATTTAGATGGAAGGTAGGAACATGGCCAAATTCTTACCTTGGGCTCCCCTTGAATGGAAACCCGACCATTCGCTTTTTGGGCCTCCATTATTGAGAAGATAGAAAGAAGACTCCACACATGGAAGAACTCATATATATCAGAAGGGGGGAGACTCACCCTCATCCAAGCCACCCTCTCTAATACCCACATTCATTATATATCTCTTATTTCTAAGCCTAACAAAGTGACACTCCCTCTTGTTGAAAATATTTTCGGGAACTTCCTATGGAGAGGAAGTACAGATCATTCATCTATGCACCATGTCAAATGGGATAAAATTTTTCTTCCCACTGAACAAGGTGGCTTAGGTATTCAAAGCATGAGGGACAAGGATCGGGCCTTACTCGCCAAATGGGTTTGGAGATATCAAGCTCAAAAATCAGCTTTGTGGAGGAGAGTTAGTGATGCAAAATTTGGCCCCAATTCTCTCCAAATAAGACCTGGCTCCACATCGTTAAAAACAGCTCGTGGACCATGGAAAACAGGAAAAGTATCTAGAAACATTGAGACCTTGTTCTTGATCGGGTGTCTTCCCAAGTGGGAAATGGAGCAACCACCTTATTATGGTTTGAAAAATGGCTTCTGGATTCATATTTGGCATTAGTTAATTCTCCAATCCATTATAGGGGCCAAGTTTTTTGGTACGCGACTGCCTTTGCAATTTTCTAGAATTTATGCTTCAAAAAAAAAGGAGGATAGGAAATTTAGGGATACTGAGAGGTCTTGATAAGACGTTTGGAGTGTACCTCATAATCTCATTTTGATGCACTCTTCGGAGTTCTCTTCAATGTTTCTTATAATCGACCTTTATTTTTTATTATTAACAATAAAACAGACTTCTAATCTCTAAAAGTCTATCCAATTACTCTTTTTTTATATATAAGAAAAAGGTCAACCCAATTACGTGCCATCTACTCCAGAGATTCCCGGCCAATTGCCCCAGGTAAATGTCGCTAACCCATATCCTTCAAATTCAACAAAGTAAAGTCCTTCATTATTTCCTCCTGCATCTCCTTTTCTTCCACCTTAATTACCCTTTCATTAGAAATCGACTCTAGGACGGAGTTCTTTCTTCTAGATGCCAACATATGAGGGGAAAATGGTATAATTTGCTTCTGCTTTTTCTAACCAAGTTGTTCAGCTTTTGATGATGAATTTTCTCTCCTCATTTGTGCACACATCATGTAATTCTCTTTTCCACTTTTTCCTATGTTCTATCTCAATTATCATTAGGGTCCCACTCACTTTCTTTAAATTTTTTTTATAAGAAACAATTTTTATTAAAAATGAGATAATACAAGAGGGAGGAGAAGAGATCTTCATAAACTACCCAGAAGCTTACATAAAAAGAATTACTTCAATTGGCACAACTAGCTACTAGCAGTAAGAGAATGACTATGAAGAGAGCTCCATTTGAAGCTAAAAAATTCATCCTTCCCCAAAAGTTGTCACTACCAAATTATAAGATATCGAGAGTCCCGTCAATCACTTTTCAATCAAACTTCAGATAAAAAACCTTTAAAAGCATTGCTCAAAAGAATTCCCCCCCCCCCCCAAAAGGCATGCCGCACATGATTTTTTCCAAGGCTTCTTTGATTATCTTCAGAAAGCACCACTGAATACAAAAGGCTATGAGCAGGAGGAACAACCATTTGAGAACAAATTTGCAATTGAAGAAGATATGATAAATTGTTTCGATGTTTTTCGTTTTCCTGCACATGATATACGAACCAGGAGAAATTTGGGTAATAGGGTGAGTTTTTTGAACTCTTGATACTTACTCCTTGCAGCAAAGAAAGACAACAAAGAATTTGATTTTCTTAGGAGTTTTGCCTTTCCGCCATCTTTTTGCAAAGCCTGGTGTGGGGCTGCCATTGTTTGACTGCGAGAAGTTATTCAAAGCCTCCAAATTCCAACTCCTTCTATCTTCATCTCTTTCTTAAAGCCATATTTTTAACCATATTATTTAGAGAAAACCACTTCTCTTTTTATGCATAATGAGATTTGTCCCGAAACCAAAATTCCAACACAAACTTTCTTGATACCACAGCTATTTGTTTGACTTTGATATTTTGACTATTAGTGACTCTATACAGCCTTGGGAGTAAACTATGAGAGCTGCTATCAGAAGCCCACCTTGAAGTTGTAGCATCTTTGAAACCAACTTTTATATTTTGAAATAAAGTTGTATGAGCAAATTTTTTTTTTAACAAGGTACGAACTTTTCATTGATAAATGAAAAGGAACAAAATCGTTCAAAGATACAAACTCCAGGAGGAAATAAAGTTGTATGAGCATCTGCATCTTGAAGTTGCTTATTTGATGTCAATAGCTAGCTAAATTTTGCGAGTATTTTCAAAGAAATTAAGATAAGACTTTGTAAATCTTCATAGGAAAACAGAAACTCTTGCATACAAAGGTATCACAACGACATTGTACTCTACAGTAGCCAGCCCATGAGGTATTCAATCAAGTATTCATCGAACACTAGCTCACCCATGATGGCTAGACTATCAACTATCCTCGTATATGCAAGGTATACTATAATTTAGTCATCCCATCAAGATTATATTTCATAACTCCCTTCTATGGTCCATCATTTTGGCCTTTGACACACAACTATACATGCTAGCTAGGGACCTAATTTAGCGGCCATCATTATGGTTTAATTTTCCAGCCATCATTCTATCTTAAGACATGAGCAACACTAGCTCATAACAAGTCAATTATACCTTTGCCACATACGACATTTTGGATTCGCTTAATTTCAACCCACTCCAAACATTTGCAAGAATGATGTCCTACAACTAATTTCGCCATAAGTTTTTTTACATAATTCTATCTAAGTTAGTAGCCATTACTAAGCTTCATCATGGATGAGTGACTCAAAGAAGGAAGGGGAGTAGAGTTGATAAAAGCCAATGTTTTAAAAGGCTAAAGGCGGCCTCGAGGCTTTTTCTCTTGAAAAGGCGAGGCGTAAGCCTCAAGGCGGTGTGAGGCGTAAGCCTCAATTTTAATTAAAAGAATTAAACAAATCCTAAATTTGTGTGGTCAAGTATTACCAAACATAATAGTTATATAAAATTATCAAAATATCCGCCTGTTACTTGTCACTCAAAAAAAATTCTAAAAAAACATCATAACATCACTACTATTATCACCAATAGAACTTACTTATTCTATAAATTGTTGTCTTCAATATTTTTAAAGTCTAGGTAGTAAAAGTAGTAATAGATTGAATTGTTACACTTACAACTCTTGCTTAGGATTCCATAAAAAAAAAACCTTGATATTTTTTAAGAATTGGAAAAATTAATAGTATTCTTGTAATCATTACACGAGGCGTATACTTTAAGCCTCAGTGCGTTTTCAAAGAGGCGTAAGCCTCTTCTATGCGAGGCGTAAGCCTCTTATAGTCCAAAGAAGGCGTAAGACTTGAGGCTAAAAGTTAGAGCCTTGCCTCGAGGCGGGCCTCAAGGCGTAAGCCTCAAAAGCCTTTTAAAACATTGATAAAAGCAATTGGGTCTGTAATATTTCCTTGACCAAATAGAGCTTGGTTCCATTCAGAGGGAGAGAGAGAGAGCATAACTATTTTCGGCGATGTGAAGGTTATGACTTCAGTATCTCCATCCTCTACTAATGTAGAGCATATAACCAAACGTATCATCATTTTTTTTTTTTGACATCCGTGAGTGTCTGAGTTAGCTTACGCGCACCTCGACTAATCTCACGGGGCAACCGCCTGACTTACAACATTTGATGTCAGAAAACACATAGGAATTACTAATTCCTAAAGTAGGTGGCCATCATGGGGTTTGAACCAAACATATCATCTTTATCGAACAAAGAATTTCTCTTTTGGCTCCCTATAATTCCTAACAGAACAATTTCAAAATTACTGCATGCCAAACATTATATGCCATCTAATCAGACTTCCTAAAAAAAGGAACGACAATAAATATAAATCTTAAGGCAAAAACGTATAAGCAACCTGGTATCGGTATCATCCAGTTGTGCCAATGACACATAGTGACTCGAGTTTCCTCTCGAACCCAAACCAGGAAGCCCGCGGGCGGAATTTCCTTCTTCCATCGAATTGTAGGCCGAATAGCGGCGTTGCCGACGCCGACGATACTCAACACAAACACACACCATATGGAGAACGCATTGGAACGCATAGCCCACAACCCAGAGCCTCAAAGGCATTGTAGGAGACTCGTTGCGGCTCATAACCAAGATGGCAGCAGCAACAACAACAAAAGCGAAATTCCACACGATGTCAAGAATCACAACCGGCTTGGAATACGCCCAATCGCTCTGCCTCTCCTCCAATTGCTCCGCAGCCGTCTCCCGGACCAACATGGACGGCTCACGCATCGTCCTACGACTACTAGCCTGCCTCAGAAACCTAGCGGCCTGACGCAGACTTTGCCTCTGCACAAATCGACGACCCGAATGCGTATCGTCCGGCGAGCGGTTGGGATTCCCCATCAACGGGGTGGTATCGACGATATCGTCAGAGGATCCATTGGGGGACCTAGAAGACGCCATTTCTGAATTCCAAAAGATCAATCGAACCCTAAGTCCGCGAGTTGACCTGCCTCATCCCTCGGGAACAAGAAGCAACAAAGATTGGGAAAATCTGAAGTGGAGAAATCCGAGAGAAGGAACGGGGAATCCAAGATTTCAACTAAGGAGATTTAGAAATTGAAAACAGGGAATGGAAATGGCGTGGGGAAGCTGTGCAATTTTTGGAGCTCCGGCTAAAAATGGAAGACTGGAGACGGTTCGTCCAGTTATGGTTATTAAGAAGATCACGGTTTTTTTCCTTTTTTTTCTTTTTTTCTTTTTTTCCTTTTTCTAATTATTTGTCTTTCTTGTCAGCCGATCGGATCGGAACTACGTGTCGTTTTGTTTTATTGATGATGTGAAAATCGTTCGTGGCCGGACCGGATCGCTGCAACATGTCGACGTAATGGTTCTACGCTCTACTTTTGATTTTGGATAATATATTTTTGACAAAATACGTTTTTAATGTTTGAGGTTTGGGTAGGTGTCTGCTTGATCCCTAAAGTTTCAAAATGAACATGTTTAATCCTTAAGCTTTAAATTAGGTGTCAACTTGATCCATGAAATTTTCAAATGAACACTTTTAGTCCGTGAAATTTGAGAAATAGTTCTAAGTCCCTGATTTTTTTTACTATTAATTAACTAATATTAAAATGATGTGACAAATTCTATTAATTAAACAATATATGTAGGTGATGGTACTTTCTCTCTCCTACCGGACATATGTTATTTAATTAATATAATTTGTCATATCACCAACTACAATAAACTATTTAATTGCAAGTTGCCATGTCATTTTAATATTAGTTAATAACAGTAAAAAAAATTAAGGACCAGAACTATTTCTCAAACTTTAGGGATCAAAGTGTTCATTTGAAAACTTCAGGAACCAAGTTGACACCTAATTTAAACCTCAAGGATCAAAAGTGTACATTATGAAACTTCAGGGACACATTAGACACCTACCTTAAATCTCAGGGACCAAAAGTGTTCATTTTGAAACTTTAGAGACTAAGTAGACACCTACCTCTAACATTAGGGACCAAAAATGTATTTTGTCCTATATTATTTCCAATAGATTATACACAACATTAAAATACTATTTTAGTTCGAATGTTTGTTTTGGTGTCCATAATTTTAAAACGTAATTATTCTGGCTCTTTAATTTTTTTTTCTCATTTTTTATCACAATTTCAAAATAACACGATAGGATTTTTTTAAATGTAATCATGTATTTATATTAAATTGTTTATGTTATGTATAAATTTTGTGTTAAAAATTTTCAAATACAGACTAAAATAGTTACTTTTCAATGAAAATTTTAAAAACATGAGACGGTAATAAACTAAATTTTAAAGTATAGGGACCAAAATGTAAGGTGAATTATGCTTCTGGACTTTCAAAAGTTTCATCTTTATTCTTAACATTTAAAATTATTTCAAACTAATAATTCATCAACGATAAAACTATTACAAAAATGTAATATTGTAGTAAGTCGTAAAAATAGAGGTACATATAGACTAGCCTGTTTTAATTGAACTTCTGAACTTTGGTTTAACGTAGTAGAGAGAAGGCTCGACGATGAGGCAATGAACAAGTTCCAACAAATGATTGTAGGCAACTGCAAAGTAATGTACATAGAATAGGTGGTTATGGACAGCACTAGAACAACTCCCTACTTCATTCGATGGGGAACAATTTCGACCTTGACCTTGTAATGGTAGGAAGATGTCATTGTTCAAGTTTACCACTTGTTCAAGGGTTGGTGTAGATAAAGAACTCAAGACAATTGGGGAGGTATTGACCTCTTTAAATTTGATGGACATTGTTCAACAACACACAAAAGAGAAAAGAGAAAAGAGAAAAAGAGATCAATGAACACCAATAGAATCACCTGTACATTTCAAAATGTACATTTCCATTTCCTCTTGAACCATATCCACGTTAAACCAAACGCCGCCATGTAGTCAGTCAACAACGTACAATTTTGCTAAATTTTGCATTTGGTTAATATATTGATATTTGTTTTTAGTTATGTTTGTTCAATAGTAATGATATATTTGTTTAATCTTAAATTTGTCGTTTAGTTTAGAATGAAAGGTTGATATCATCATTAAAATAAATTAGAAAATTGGTGTTACTGTTTTGTTATTGAAATTATCCTTCTTTGAATTTAGGAGAAAAGTCTATGCGTGTTTAAATTAAAATTCTAGAACTTTTCTACTTCTCATTATTAATTATTATTCTATATATATTATTAGTAAGAAAATGTGTGAGATTTGAATCTCAATGGACAATGTTGTCTTATTGAAGCCGTCGTGTGCGGTGGTGAAGGAGAAGAGGACGAGAGGGGATTGAGACGATGGAGATATGAATGATGGGTTAAAAATTAAAAAAGTAACTACTCATTCCTCCCGTTTTTCTTTTTATGATGTAATTGTTCATTTATTTTTGTCTTTAAAATTGAATAATATAATAATTTTTATAAATTTAAAATCGTGATTTGTATATTATAATTTTATCATTTTCAATCTAACTATAGCCAACATAGAATCAAATAAGTATGTAGGACTTAAAAATTTAAGTGAAAAATACTTTCTTTTTATGTATTTTTTTTAATTGTATTGTATTATATTATTTCAATGATATATTTTACAATTAATTTATTTATAATTGAATTTAAATTATAATTATAATGGAGGGAGTGCAATCTTATTTTGAAAAAAGGGTAAAGTTCCCATATATATTTAAATGGTAAGAAACAAAAATATAACATTATATATAACATTATATAGAAAAGAAATCACAAAAGAAGAATACTATATAGTTTAACATTCATATAATATAGTGTGTGCTAAATTAAATTTTGTATGAAAAAGTTTCTTCAAAATTATTTTTTAATAAGATAGTGTAAATCAGAATAAAATATTTAAATTAATGTGTTCTACTTCTAGAAAACTAATTAAGTCATAATTTTTACTAATTTATTATTTTCTACTATTTTCTTTATACTTTAAAATAAAACTATAAAATTCACGTGTATTGCACGTATTTCTTAGTAGTATATATAAAAGTACAGATGTGGAATAAACCTATTTTTATACCTTTTAAATTATTTTCATTGTTACTTTCATGAATATAAAAAATTATTAGTTTCAATATGTACTTGTACTTTTATTTTAAATTTATCTAATTATTAAAAGTGAAAAAAAATCTTTTATTTTAAAATTTATTTAATTATTAAAAGTGAAAAAAACATAAATCATAGATGTGAATATTTTGAATGAAGAACTCAGAGAAGTTTATTCGATTTAAAATTAAATGTTTATCGAAGGAAAATGAAATCAAACATGTTTACTTGGCACAAGGTATTAATAAAGAAACTTAAATAATATCAGAAAGGGGACTTTGAATGGGTTTTGCGCAATTAAAAATGCATTGTTATTCTTGCGGGCAATTTGTTTATCGCAACCACGGGAATGTGAAGACGCTGGAGGCTATGGATGTGGTGGAAGTGATGTGAAATCTGCAGTTTCTAGTATTCTACCAAATTCAAGGGGAAACTGATTCGACTGGAGTGCAAAGCTATTGCAAAGGGAAAAAGACGATTTTATTGAAATAACGTTAACAAATATTGAATCTTAAGAATTAATGTGGCATCATCTCATTCAATAAGGTGGATAGGGATGGTAATTTTTGTGCCCCACTGTGTAGCACATAGGGCCTTTGAATTAGAGGAAAGTGAACGTTGGTGTCCTCTATCCCTAATTGGCTAATCCTTGTGGCCAATCCAGATTTTTCTATTTCTTAATGAAGTTTTTTCCTAAAAAAAAGAAATAAACTTTAATAAATGTATTCAAAATGACAAAAAAACCCCTTAAATATAGGGGGAATAACCAACCTGAGATTTCGAGTGGGAAGATTTTAATTGAAAAAAACAATAATAAGGTCAGTTCAACCATTATGTTTTCGACATCTGTATATGTTGTTAATAAAAATAAACAAATAAATAAATTATATATATAAACCCCAAGATTATTAATATTGTTGGGAGGTCATACAAAAGTCTTACATGGGCGGGTACCGCAGCAGTTCATCGGCCCAATCTGTGTACACCAAGCATGGCACATACACGCCACCACTACGGCCCATCGGCCTAACCCGTGTCACCAAGCGTGGCACCTATACGCCATCACCGCGGTCCATTGGCTCAACTTGTGCACTCCAAGCGTAGCACCTACATGCCACCATCACGCCCATCGGCCCAACTCGTGCACACCAAGCCTGGCACGTACACGACACCACTGCGGCCGCACAACTTTTCTCCACTCCAAGGGAGCACAGCTCCCACAGCCGCGCAAATCTTCTCCTTTATGACCACCACGACCACCTATTGGAGTATGAAACGCACACCACCACTATGACTTGCTATGCTAACCACCTTTGTGTCATACCCAGCATGGTACGCACACCTCCACCGTAGACATCTTAGTCCGGCCACCGCTTTGATTGCTTTGAAGGAAATAAATCTTCTCCCTCCCCTATGAGCCTATAAATACAATGACCCCAATCCAATTGAAGGACAACAAAACAACTCACTTCACTTCTATATAATTATCTCTCTCATTTCATCAGTTCTTATACTGACTTAAGCATCAGAGTGTATGTTTTCTTTCTGAAGATCATCTTTGGTCTAGGCGTACGAGTCAAGATTTCGTCTTTTCCCTATTCACAACCAGTCGGGTCAAATTCGGACCACCAAGTTCTATTGGCCTCTCCAAATTATGCATTAACAGTTAGCGCCGTCTATGGGGAATAACGATAAAAGAAAATCTTTACTCTACTCTAGCCAAAATTTGTGTTCTAAATTATGAATCTGCTTCATAATCCAACCAACCTCGAACAGGGACTGAATGCTGAACAAGGCGAACATCTCATTCCCTCTCCCAAACCTAGACGTCGTCAAGCCTCTTGCAACAATCATTCTCACAACGAAGATTGGAGGAAAGAAACCCACACCATGGCCACTCAACCGATCGGTCTTGTGGTTGTTCCAAGGCAAACACGAAGTCACCACACTCAAGTCGTCTGAGATGTCCAAAGGTTAAAAGGAGGTATGGCACGAGTACTGGCTTTGTTAACATAGCAAGGTCAAGCTAGAACTTACGCTAGTACTTCATCTCCCACGCCCCACTGAGACCCAGGAAAAGGGAAACAACCCATGGAAGTCGGCGATG